AGCACAATACACTTCAAGTAGAATATTGTAATGAAACTGCAAAACACCAGAAACATAAAGGAAATATCAGAAATAGCCAGAGGAAAAAAGACAAATCCTCCTACAAGGGAGCAACAGGATGACAGCCTCAGTAACAAACAATCGAAGCCAAAATGACAGTGGAATAATATTTCCAAAGTATTGAGATAAATCTTTCAACCCAGAGTTATGTACCCAGCAAAACTGTTTTTCAAGAATGAAGATAAAGACTTTTTCAGATAAAATTGAGGATGTTTACTACCAGCAGACCTTCACTAAATGGAGAATGGCTAAAAAAATATATGTAAGGAAGATGGAAAATGATCTCAGAAAGAGGGTCTGAAATGCACATGGTAAAGAAGAAAACATTTACTAGGTTGGAAAATTTGTTATGACCTACGAAGTTATCAGAAGTGTGACATTGTACCATAAAGAGGTGAAGTGTCGTATGAAGTGTAGTGAAAATTGCTTTCTACTCCCCAGAACCTGTTCCAACACTTTTTCATTCTTTATCAGCATTGTGGATGGGGAATTAACCCACTTTCACAGTGGGCCATAATTAAATTCACGAAGTTATCAGAAGTGTGACATTGTACCATAAAGAGGTGAAGTGTCGTATGAAGTGTAGTGTAAATTGCTTTCTACTCCCCAGAACCTGTTCCACCACTTTTTCATTCTTTATCAGCATTGTGGATGGGGAATTAACCCACTTTCACAGTGGGCCATAATTAAATTCAGTCATAGTAGTCCCATTCCCCTTTGCTAATCCAGTTGATTCAGGAACTGGGCCTAAGCCATTTAGCCCATGGCCATGACCTTCATGGCAATTATTGATTCAGAGGTGGCCACGTGACTGCAGTTGGTCTAGTCAAACGTGAAGGAAAGAATTCTTATTTTGTGCTTGGGGGTGAGGTACATTGAGGGAACCTAGATTGCTTCTTATTAGGGTAAAAGAAAGGTCTTAATGTGCAGTCAACATTAGGAATAGCAGAGCTGTGAGAAAAAAAGAGAGAAAATTTGGTTTTTGATGATTTCACTGTGTTACTAAATCACCTATTCCTGACGTTTACCCTATTTATGGACTTCATTTCACGTGGGATTGTAGTTTAAATCTGTATAGTTTATAAGATTATGGTTTCTTTGTTGAAGCTCCACCAAAACTCCTTTCTCCTAAAAACAAGTTAGACTTCATTATAACAAGTATAATTTCAATTCTATATTAGAAGAGGTAGAAACTAGATGCTGTATACTGCTCTGCCAAGACTAGATTAATTCAGGGTATCATGTTTTATTGAAGCACATTGACAGATTCTTATGCCCAGAGAAGGTGACAGAGTGATAAGTGTGAAAATCATGAAATGTGAATATATGATAAACATATTGGATGTCCTTTGCCTTTGGCCTGGTAGAAGAAGGTATTGAAGAGATTTAATAGCAGTGTTCAGATACTTAAAGGGTTTTCATGTGAAGAAGTATTACATTTGTTTTGTGCAGTTCCAGAGGTCAGAACTAGCCTCAGTCAAAAATTCTGGAGAGTTATAAGAAAGACGTGATCAGTATAAGAAACGAATTTTCTGATAATTATAACTGTCTGGAAATGGGAGTGAAGGGGTACAACAGTGGACAGCTGTCAGGAGACCTTGGGAGCTAATTTTTCTTCCCAAAAAGTTCTTCTAATAGAGGACTTCC